TTATTATTATTTTCAAAATATGCATTGGACATATTCTTTTTTCTTAAATTAATTTATATATTAATTTTTCTTTTGTTTTTTAATATTATTTTATAAACTTATTTATATATTATTTTTAACCACTGTGCTCCCCCAATATTTACTGGAAATCAAACTGGTAAAAATTTGTATTGTTCGATAAATTTGAAGCATCTCTAAGCTACTTCAATTTATCGCCTAGAACTGCGCAAAGTCAGCTTTTGCACCGCGAGTCGATTTAATTAAGTGGCTCCCATAAAAAAAAAAATCATAACAGCTACCTTTGCAGTAGCGAAAATGTTTACAAAGTTTTAAATTTTCGTTTAATCTAATCAGACAAGAAACATAAAAGTGAAAATTGTTTTTTAATATTTATGTATGTATTTTTCGAATTTAAATATTGGATTTACGTTTTACCAATAAAAAAAGTTTATAAAGTTTTCTGTACAACATATAATTTATATAGTGTAACGAAATTAAAATAATTTTGTTTAATAAAACAATAAAAACAGCTTCATGCACATTTACATAAAGCTTTTGTTTATTATTCCATATTTTTATTATATTTTTCATGCTGTGCCTAGCATTCAACAACAAAGAGACGAAATATTGATTTGTCGAGTAAACGAACTCATACTGACGTCCTTTTTATTTTTGTTTGTCGTTTTATATATTTCTGTGCTTTCTGTATATGTATATTTGTTTTGGCTAAAAAATATTTATTATAAATTAAAATTGGCTCAATATATTCTTGTTAGATTATGGCCTTTAAGTGTCCTTTCAGTGGTTAAGGGTTCTCTATATTAATATGTTATCTAAAAACAGGCTTTAAATGTATTAAAGATTATAATATTATATTTATTGTATCGCTTCTATTTTACCGAAAATTTGCTTAAAACTTTAACAACTGCTTAGATTTTATAGCGGGTTTTCTGTTCTGTAAACATCGCCGTTTAAAATGGCTGGATATATGTTTCATCTATCTATCTATCTGCACTTTAAAGTGATGTCCTCACTATATTCCATGAAAGTTAAAGCCAGTACGATTATTTCCTGATTTTTCTTATATATATAATTTAAGTGAGATCGAATATTAGTGGAAAGCAACAGCTAAAAATTTGCTGCATTTATATTTTTGTTTTTATAAAGCTATAAAACACATAAGCATTGTTATAAGCATTCTTCCTGCCTTTTTAACTCGGATAATCTCAAAGGAAGAACAACTTGAGATCACAGAAACACTCTACAGATTTAGCTGCGTGTTTTTATTGCATGCGTTTTCCCACCTATATATAATCGATGGTTAGTGATTAGCATTTGATTAACTTATACAGTTAATAATGGTAATCAGATCTTTTTCTATATATCTTCTCAGCTGCCTTATTTTTGAGACCCTACAACAATTGTCTATATTAAGCAAGATGGCAGAAAGTGCGGATAATGAATATATTGCCCGGTAAGTAAATAGATAAAACTAAGTATGTGAACGATTCAATAATACAAGCCTAATTTATTCTTTTTTTATAAGTCGCGAACTTCCAGCACCAATGTTATCCAGAAAAAAGATAAGTGTTTGGTCGGTCCTCAAAAATTGTATTGGAAAGGACTTAAGCAAGATTACCATGCCAGTTGAGTTGAATGAACCGTTAAGCTTCCTACAACGAATCTGTGAATATATGGAATATGCCAATGTCTTGACCTATGCTGCCCACCAAGATAATCCAGTGGATCGCATGAAATATGTGGCAGGTGAGTAAAAATCAGAAATAAAATCAATTGTATTAGAATTATGAATCCCAAATAGTACGCAAATCTTTATTATTTTAATTACTTAAAAAATATATTTAAATAATAAAAAACTTCTTCTTCAATCATCAGCATTTGCCGTATCGGCCTTGGCTTCCAACTTGGATCGACTGGGCAAGCCGTTCAATCCGATCCTTGGCGAAACCTATGAGCTCCAACGAGAGAATTATCGTATTGTCTGCGAGCAGGTCTCGCACCATCCACCGATATCTGCATTTCATGCAGAATCCAACGATTTTAATTTTTACGGTTCGATAAATCCGAAAATTAAATTTAGTGGAAAAAACGTTGAGATACGTCCAACTGGAGTTGTTACTGTCGAGTTTCCTAAGTGAGTATTCAGAGTTTTCTATTAAACTTTAAATGTAAATCTGCTAAAAAGTTAGAATAATACAGATAGATGTGTAAGACTTGCCCTAAGTTGAATAATATCTACGTCAGAGTCAAAATCAATATAAAAAGAAAGAAATGCTTCAAGTTACCCGTGGGATAACGCTGTCAAATGATCTATGAACAAAAGTGATTTAGATGTTCCATTGGGAGTGTCTCAACTGAACGGGACCAAAGAACAAGAAGCAATGAACTATTTAAAGCTAAGTGGCAAATCACTTTGGCATCTCTGCATGGTTTATTTCTTTTATTGAAATTCATGATAAATTGGAAATCGTCTGCACCGCTGGAAATCAACAAACATCGCACAGCTCTCGGGGATATACCATTATCGATCTAGACAAACCTTAAAAGTTTTAAGCCTGCTTTAAATATATATAAAATAGTTTTGCTATTTCTTTTTGTAACCATGAATTCATATAATTTACTATAAAACTAATTTAGACAGAAACAATTTTGTATTCAAGCCAATTTGTAAAAATTCAATAATTCTTTAGGAAATTCAAAATGTTTGTAGTAATCAATAATCATCAATCAAACCGTTTAAACATTTTTTCCGAATTTCTTAACAAGTTAAATACTTTCGATTTTTCATTTTAAAACTGTATATATTTATAATATTTGCATAAACATTTTTCACAGATGGAACGAAACCTATACATGGAGTAATGTCAATTGTTGTGTGCACAATATTATTGTCGGAAAACTTTGGATTGAGCAATATGGCACCATAGAAATCACAAACCATGCCACTGGACATGTGGCAACATTAACCTTCAAATCATCAGGTCTCTCAGACAAAGATCTTTACAGGGTAGAAGGCTTTGTCAAGGATGAAAAGTAAATAAATAAATATTGAATTATTATTATTTCAAAGAAAATACGTTTATAATTCTATTCAAATATTTTCATTACAGTCAGCAAAAACTTCTATTCCTTTATGGCAAGTGGACAAAGTTCTTGAAGTGCTGCTCGATGGAAGACTATGAGGAGCACCTGCAGCAGGAGAAGAAAATTGAGGAAGAGAAACATTGTAATTCCACGCATAATGCTGCTCAAGGCAAAATGTTTTCCAAATTAAATAGTTTTAAATTGGATTCCTTTCGCAGTTTATCTCTACAGGAGGTAAGGACCAATTGGTAAAGTGAGAAATTGGAAGAAATTTATTGAAATTTATACTCGTGTTTAGGACAAGGAGTTCACACCTAATGAAACCAACGATGGGCTGCCCAGAAGTGATTCGGATATTAGTCTGAATTTGCCCAATTCTATACTACTATGGAGGTGTAAGCCAAGACCTGCTAATAGCAGCGAGGTAACCAGACTTTTTTTTAGCCTATTTGATTCTAATTCTAATGCTTGCTGTAATTATAAAATTTTTTATATTTTACTAAATATTTGAAGAAATTTTATGTATGATATGTAAGGATAAGAGAAAATTCAAATTATGTACTGTAATTTTATGTAAAGTTTCCTCTAAATTTCAGTTTCTCGAAAATCTAATTCTATATATTTACCTCATAATTAATATTCCAATCATTTTGTAAAGCAGCACCTGAGCCTCAGCAATTGTAATATACTAATCCTCGTTAAAAACTACTTCATATTCCATGCATTTTTTTAGTATTATCATTTCACTAACTTCGCTCTGCAATTGAATGTAATGGAGTCTAATATGAAACCACCAGATACCCTTTGCCCCACCGACGCACGACTACGGCCGGATATATTATGTTTGGAGCAGGGCGATTTAGATGGAGCCTCAAGGGAGAAAGCACGTTTGGAAAAACAGCAGAGGGACTATAGAAAACAAGAAAAAAACTCGGATGAGCTTGGGCCAAGGTAAACTATTTTGTATATTTGTGATATACAAGTTTAATTTTATTTTAATGGGCATACATACATTTCTCAGATGGTTCAAAAAGGCTTACAACCCGTACACAAAGAGTGAAGCTTGGATTTATAATGGCAACTATTGGGATCGCAACTACAAGAATGTTAATGCAATTTTTTAAAGGCAAATGTATATAGTACCTATAGTAGCCGTTATTATGTATCGTACAAAATAAAGTTAATGTGAGTTATTTAGTAGAATCAATGCTATACGGAGTGCATTTATTATGCTACAAATTCGTTGAATTTGTTTACTAAATACATATCTATGTATAAAAACGGAAAATGAAAAATAAAATTGTCAGAATTATAGTACTCAGGATATACAGCTGCTAATTCACGATACACACCTGGCAGGTGCCGAGGCAGCTTTATGCAATTTCATAGCTTATTTTATTAAACAGATCGTTGATTTCCTCCTACTTAGCAAACTGTCAGTCGGCGATAAATGCATAATGCAAAACTACACATACATACATATGCACGTGTGTATGTGCACGTCTATTTAGGCATATCTGTATGAGTTTATACGTATGCATACAGTGTTCGTAAAAGTGTATGTATGTATATGCTTATGTGTTGGTGTAGGTACATGTTCAGGCATACATGCATGTATGCAGAGATGTCAATATTCACACATATGCACATACATACATTCACGCCTATACAGTTCAGTAGTTAGCTGTCTAAATGGGTGCTCAGTATATGTGTGTACATTTGTATGCATGCTTTAGCATACGAACATACATGTGAAAGCGTATGTATGTATGAAGTAATTGAATGAAAATGTATGCAATACCTACATATATATAAATAAATGCATAGTGCATGTGCATTATTTATAACTTGAGATTCGTCTTTAGCAAAGACAAAATAAAAGAAAAGAAAAAACCATTTGTTTGATCGGCTAATATCGATCAGCATTAGTTGTTCAGTCGCTTAGAAGTCGTTGACGATTGATGGCACTTAATAAGATCGTTAAAGCGTTGGGCGACGGTAAAAATAAATTTATATTAAAATCTTGTGACCCGGATATTTAAATGCTTTAATGCATTCAAATAATTTGTATTATTATGTGTATTAAGTGTTAGTGTAAGTGTAACGAAAACGCAATGTTGCGCAATATTTATTTTCAGAACCTTAAAGGAATACGTGAAAGTACGAAAGTTCTATGTGCACTGAAAAAGCTAATATGTGCCTGATTAATTAGCATAGAAATAATATTAAACATCAACCCGTTTCTTCTTTTTATGCAGCGATTATGAATGAAGTAAGTATTGACATATGCCATTTATATACATATGTATGTATATACATGTATATGTATATACATACATACATACATACATACATACATACATACGTGTTTATGTATGTGTATTTTACATGCATGTGTATGTATGTCAATAAATTCACATGTTCACAGACATAGCGTATACACGTCTGTCATTGCCAGAAGATTGCGACATACATATGCATGTACGCAAATACTTTTGTATTTATTTATATATATAGTACACACATACATACATATGTACAAATGGCAAACACTTATTCGTCATCCCTTTTGTGCCTTAACTAGTAAAGCTAATTTTATGACAGGAAGACGAACTTTACAGCTAGTATACTCTACAAGCGGACAATTTTCTAAAAGTCCATTAGTTCAGTTATAACAGCTGCTGAGGATAACTATGTTCCCACAGCAGTGGCAAAGCCAAAGAGTTTGCAATTGCATGCTGCTTTGTGTGCGCTCTCCTTTGCTCTCTCTTCTTTTGTGGGCAGCTCAACGGTCGGCTGAAGCCGTTGTATTGTTATTCTATTTTCGTTTACATTTCGGTTTAAGAGCGCTCATGTCTGTGTGGCTCTCTATTAAATTCGTTGCAGCTGTAATATTATGTTCTTCTTTTAGCTTCGCTTCCTTCATAATAATTAGTTAATCATGTGTAAACTTATTTACGCTCTCAACGTCATTATGAAGAGTTCCGCTCTCTGCGTGTGCCGCTCTCTTCTAAACAGATCAACATTTGCGTTTCTGTCCTTCTTTCTCTTTATGAAAAGAGAGCTATTGCATTTGAGTTAAGCATACAAAATGAAGGCGCCTGCCTTCAGTCGCCATTCTTTATAAAATGTTTTTTAGAATGCGGTCGATTAAGTCGTTCGCCAGATCTTTTAGCAAATATATAAATATATAGAAGACAATGAAAGAAACAAATTAACAAATAGAAAAAGTGGTATAATATTAATAAGTGAAATAAAGTCATTAAGTGCATTCAGACAAATCCAACTATGAATTTGAAATCGAGCAGAGAGCGGTTAACGGTAAATTTATGAGAAAATGAAAAAAGGAAACGTAAAATGTAAATCGTTGCTCAGGCAAATAAAAAAACACAAAATGTCTGCGACTGGAACATATTGATTTAAAGTTTTGTTAGTATTAATTACCATAATTTCAAGAAAAGTTTAAAACTGATTGGCAGAAGAACAAGTTGCATTTACGCCTTTAATTTTTTATGAACTAAGAAATGTTGTTTACCGTAACTTATTAATAAGATAAAATCAAATATAAAAGAGAAAGGACCGTTATTGAATGAAAACAGCTTCAATTATATTAATAATCACATATTCTACTTCTCTAGACCTTTGATTTAGTTTTTGTAAATCAAAGTTATCAGGCTCAAACACCGGATGCCGTAAGCGTTTCGCAAGGAGATTTGGTTGAACTCGTAAATACGATAAAAAGCCTCAACGAAACAAAGTATGTATGAAGCTATTAAAATAATTTATATTAGGCAAAAAATAAGTCTAATTTATTATTTTATCTCATATATATTAGATGCTTCATAAGAGTCACTGATGGATTAAATGCGCGTGAAGGCTTGGTTCCGATGGAAATATTAGAAGTTAATTCATCGTCGTTTAGTTCAAGTAAAAACGAAAATGGCAAAACCACGGAAGCAGACATTGATTTCAAGAAGAGGTAAACATATTACAATTACAATGATAAAGTTGTTTAAAGTATAATAAATATTAAATGTTCCAGGACCATTATTGGGGAACTCTTGGAAACGGAGGAGGAGTTTTCAAGAGACTTACAATATGTAATTGATAAGTATATAAAGGCTATTGATAAGCCGACTACGCCACGATCGATTCGCGACAACAAAGACATTATCTTCTCTAATGTTATACAAATTGCCGAATTTCACATGTAAGTGTCAAGAGTCTATATCTGTATATTATAAAATTTGTATTACTTCAAATTAACATTCATTTCAGGGTTTTAAAGGAGGGCCTTGAATGCTATAGAAATCAGCCCAATATGATAGCCAAAACATTCTTAAGACTGGAAAGAGATTTTGACAAACATGTGAAATATTGCCGTAACGAGTTACTCGCACAAGAGTTCCTAGCGACCAATGTAGAAAGCAAAAATTTTTTCCGGGTAAGATAAAAAACAAAATACTTACGTGTTATTTAACATTAATATCTTACAATATTACATTAAGAGTACGTACATTAAATAAATATATTTATATTGTGGTTAAATTATTTTAAATTGCCATATTTTACATTTTTATATGAATATGATCAAAAATTGTTAAAGACTTGTGTGGCAGCCCTCGTTCACAACTTGTCTCTGCGATCGGTACGAACATTTTCGCACAAGTGTTTTCTATTTTAAAGAATGTTTTCCAACCATGATGCAACCTCTTGCAACTTGTTTGTTTTTCCCCAAGTTTGATGTAAGTTGCGTTGATTAATGTTCGATCGGAAGGTCAAACTTGCTGCTCTTGTTGTTTTCGTCTAATTGGTAAAACATATGTTCGCACCGCGAATCGAGTGGGATGTGCGCACTACATACAACATTGAGAAAGCTCAAGCTTTTATCAGTTGCACCTGTTTTTATACATATACATATAAACAATACATTGCTCAGATTTGTTTGATTGTGAACTTATGTTGCTCTGGCAGTTTATGAATGAATATTAGGTTGCAATTTATTGACTATGTTCAGTATGGCCTTTTGGCTTTTTCGTTATGCTCAGAGGGCGAAGGAAGAAGAGTATATACCCGATGATACGCAGTTGAGTGATAAATGTTTTTATTAGCTTATTTATGAATTGAAAATGAAAGTGAGTATATATTCATGTGAGGTAATAAGAAGTGTGGAATATATTAGAATATATTAAATCGAACTGAATACATTAGTATATATTATATTATTGTCTTGAAATTAGCTAGCTAACTTATTAGTCAAAGCAATAAGATTATTATAAAACTACGCCTACTGTTGTCAAGTCAAGTTGAACAATAATTCATTTTTAATATATTGAATGAGAATTAATATACTTGAGTTATCAATTAAAATTTGTTAAAAAAAAAACAAATTTGTTCTGTTGAATAAACTTTAAATGAGTATATTGATTTTGTGTAAAATTATGTTACATATATATTGTATATTTAACATAATTAATATATATATATATTCCGATATAACTATATCTATTTGTCTGACTCTCTAACATCAGAGCGGATATCGAACATTTAAGTTTATCAATAAAATATGACTACATTAAGGAAAGAATAAAAGCAAGAAGCAGAGCAGTTAAGCACATTAACTATGTATGTGCAACAATATTTTTTTGGTATATAAATTACCATAAAAACTTGAGCAAAAACTACACAATATTGCTGCCCAATGATCGTGTATGAGCCGAAGTCAGACAAAGGCTCGACTGTTGGGCTCGATGTTGTGTGGGTGTATCGTTGCCCTATATAAGGGCAAGCCTTTTGAAGGCAGGTTCAGTTGGTTTTTTGACCCCCACCTGGTCAGTCGTGCAGTGCAGTGCTCCTCCTCTTCTTCTTCTGGCTGTGTGGAAAATATTTTAAGTAGTTAAGAACAATAATAAGCATATGTATTAAGCAAACTTGTAATTGTTGTATTATATAAGGAATTGATTAATAAATTTACTGAATAATGATATTATAAGTGAATAATAGTAGTTAATAATCGTATTACGTATATTTTAGGCAGGATTGTAATAGTTGTGTTAAATAACTTTATTATTAATATTTATTATGATTATTCGTTTTAAAGAGAAATAATTGCTGCTCTCTCAGCCCTCAGCCTGTTCTTGCTCTCGCTAACTGTTCTCCTACAGCTTGTTCCTTCTCTGCCTTTTTCATCTCTGATTGTTCTATGGCTGTCTGTTCTCTGGCTGCTTATTCTCTGGCTGCTTATTCTCTGGCTGCTTATTCTCTGGCTGCTTATTCTCTAGCTGCTTATTCTCTAGCTGCTTATTCTCTAGCTGCTTATTCTCTAGCTGCTTATTCTCTAGCTGCTTATTCTCTGGCTGCTTATTCTCTGGCTGCTTATTCTCTGGCTGCTTATTCTCTGGCTGCTTATTCTCTGGCTGCTTATTCTCTGGCTGCTTATTCTCTGGCTGCTTATTCTCTGGCTGCTTATTCTCTGGCTGCTTATTCTCTGGCTGCTTATTCTCTGGCTGCTTATTCTCTGGCTGCTTATTCTCTGGCTGCTTATTCTCTGGCTGCTTATTCTCTGGCTGCTTATTCTCTTGCTGCTTATTCTCTGGCTGCTTATTCTCTGGCTGCTTATTCTCTGGCTGCTTATTCTCTGGCTGCTTATTCTCTGGCTGCTTATTCTCTGGCTGCTTATTCTCTGGCTGCTTATTCTCTGGCTGCTTATTCTCTGGCTGCTTATTCTCTGGCTGCTTATTCTCTGGCTGCTTATTCTCTGGCTGCTTATTCTCTGGCTGCTTATTCTCTGGCTGCTTATTCTCTGGCTGCTTATTCTCTGGCTGCTTATTCTCTGGCTGCTTATTCTCTGGCTGCTTATTCTCTGGCTGCTTATTCTCTGGCTGCTTATTCTCTGGCTGCTTATTCTCTGGCTGCTTATTCTCTGGCTGCTTATTCTCTGGCTGCTTATTCTCTGGCTGCTTATTTTATTCTCTGGCTGCTTATTCTCTGGCTGCTTATTCTCTGGCTGCTTATTCTCTGGCTGCTTATTCTCTGGCTGCTTATTCTCTGGCTGCTTATTCTCTGGCTGCTTATTCTCTGGCTGCTTATTCTCTGGCTGCTTATTCTCTGGCTGCTTATTCTCTGGCTGCTTATTCTCTGGCTGCTTATTCTCTGGCTGCTTATTCTCTGGCTGCTTATTCTCTGGCTGCTTATTCTCTGGCTGCTTATTCTCTGGCTGCTTATTCTCTGGCTGCTTATTCTCTGGCTGCTTATTCTCTAGCTGCTTATTCTCTGGCTGCTTATTCTCTAGCTGCTTATTCTCTGGCTGCTTATTCTCTCGCTTTGTCTTTCATCTCTTTGGTTGAGCGCTCTCTGACTTGCTATATTTCGCTCGGTCTCCTCTAATCAGAATTGCTTTCTGCCTGTAAAAGGAGTTTCAAGCTATATACATGTATGTATGTATGTATGTATGTATGTGTGTATGTATGTGTGTGTGTGTGTGTGTGTGTGTGTGTGTGTGTGTGTGTGTGTGTGTGTGTGTGTGTGTGTGTGTGTGTGTGTGTGTGTGTGTGTGTGTGTAATCTTTGCAACAAACCTATTTTTTATTTATTTATTTTTTTTTTATAAAATTATATGTCATATATTTTCAATAACTTTTAATCAAACCAAATTTTTGTACAAACACATTTGTTCATAAATGCATTTCAAATGTCGAAGAATTTAAAACAGAGTATAGAATAGACTTTATTGCGTTCACTGGGAGCTTTTTTTTTTCGTTGAAAATTTAATAAACAAAAATGTCTAAAAAGTTAGCAGAAAATTGTATAAATAGTAATTAGAAAACATTTTGCTCACGTCCGTTTGACGGAGTGTGTGGGTTTCTCAAAAGTTTCTCAAATAATTGATATACATATGTATAATTTGTCTATATGTTTATATAGATTTATATTTTTCCTATGCTTACATTTATAAACTACATAGGTTGCAGTATTTGCAATATGTATGTATGTAAGTCACAGATATCTATATATACATTTGATTTTTATTTGGTCAAATAGACAGACACACACAATGTTCAATGCTTTTCAGAATATTATGTATACATACATACATACATACATACATAAAGTCAGTCACATACACTATGTATATACATGTGTGCGTGCATATATGTATGTAGATCTATTAGTTTATTTTTAAATCCAGACGTTTCTCTTTATTAAAGCTTTTGCACACTTCAGTGTATTTTGAGTTGTGTTTGCCATCGTTTCGTGATCTTTACACGTGGATATTACTTTCCTTGGTACCTAAAAATTATTTGCTCAAAAAGTTCCCACAAAAAAAAAAATAAATATATTTGTAAAATAAAAATTATAAATATTACAACGTAATCGATGTGTTTTTTCTATAAGTTAATACTGTTATGCAAGATTCATTAAAATTAATATAGATATATATGCATATGTGTATACATATATAAACTTGCAGATATCTATATAGATCTGCCTGTGCGTGTGTGTGTGTGTGCGAATGTGTGAGAATAGATGCGTAGTGCTAAATTTATATTGATGAACGAATTTAGCTTTCAAAGTTAGGAATTGTACTTGTGGAGGAATAATCAAAGATGGATATACATACATCTATGTACCTATGAATGTATGTATGTCTGTGTGCATATTCATAAGCAATTACATACATGACCTAGTTACATACATCTGCTATGTGTGTATGTCGAATTTGCAACAAGTGACTTTTATTTAGAGATATTCATCATCTCGTCTACCCAGATCAATCTGAACTATTTTACACAAGGACATTCGTAAATAAATACTGGATACTATACAAATATACCATATTGCAATTGAATCGAGGATAAAAAGTAAGTCATTGCCCGTTATATCGGCCAACACACACAACTACAACTTGGCGTGTCTCAGCCAACAACAAGTGGCAGCTACGGTTATATTCAAGAGCAAAGCGTATTCCCAGCGTGTCGTCTGTGCGACCATGAAAACACCACACGAAATGAGTGAAATTCTTTCAAAGTATTTTAATGAAATTATGTAACATGGAATTATTATAAATATTAGGAAATTATTCATATTTTATACACATTTTTACTGTCTAATTAATTTGCAAATTTTAAGCAATTGGAAAAAAAGATAATTGCTCTAGTCGGTGCAGGCTGCTTAGCAGGGTATTTACTGTGCATATAGCGCAGCTGTTGGAAACCATCAAGCTTACCAATACACACACACACATATATATATATACACATGCACAGGCACACACACACGCACAAGCAAAGCACATACAGTTGCACGCACGCCGCTTGCTTTGCATTTGATGTCATTGCTGGGCTTTTTTCTGCTTCTTCTTTGCCATCAAATCTAAAAGTTTAAATTCGATATTTTTAATGGGTTTTTATTGACAATTTTAGTTAATATATATATTTTATTTATATTTTTATACATATATTAAACTGTGCTGTTTTATGTTTAAATTTTTTGATTTTGCTTGAGAAATATATTAAATGTCTTCCTAGCTTTTTAATGTAATTTTGCAGGAAAAAAGCAGAATATATAAAAATATCGAATGCTCAATATTTGAAAATGCTTTAGGAAATATACAATATATATATATACAATATATATTTGTTATTTATTTGTTGACATTGGCTAGAGATAAATTTCCAAATGTCAAAGAGTATTTGTGAGGGGAAACAGTTGAAAATATATCAGAAATATAAAGTATGGATGTTAGATATTACTTATGAATAATAATAATTAATTTAATATAATATAAATATAATTCATTATTTGCAGATTCGATTTATATTTATCATTAAAGTATTAATTATTTGTATAAGTATAAGTTTGTTAAAAAACTTATTGTTTAGGAAAGAAACACTTTCTTTTTAACTTTTCTTAAATTGCGGCTTTGTAATATTTTAAAAGTTATATTTATTGGATTTTATTGTTCATGTTATTTATTTATTGCATTTAATACAAGAATAGGGCAATATTTTTAATTTTTTATAAAACTTCTATAAAAGAAAAAAATTGAAATTTCACAATTTTGTGCATATCTATTTCAGGAACTTTCGGCAAAGCTGGGCGACGACAAATCGCTATCCGAGCACTTGAAGCTTCCACTTCAGAGAATCAACGACTATAAGCTTCTGTTTAAGGTTTGGCATGTATATTAATTGTTTGTGTTTGTTTTACTAAAATTAATATGGATGCACGCCTAATTTGTAACAGAGAAATTAATATAATTTGTATTTGAAACTAATTAACTGGTTTAATGTTTAATCCACAGGACCTAATTAAACTATCTCAATGCTTCAAAGATAATGTTAGGGACTTGGAGAGAGCTTTAGAACTAATGCTTAGCGTGCCAAGTAGAGCCTATGATAATATATATATATCGAGTATTGAGGGCTATAGAGGTAACATACAGAAGTTGGGCAGGTTGTTGCTGCATGAGCCTTGCTTGGTTACAGAGAAGGATGGTAAAACCCATGAACGATATTGCTTCCTGTTCAAGTCTAGAATCTTAATAACAAAAGTTCGCAAAATCTCTGATAAGAAATCGATATTTATTTTGCAAAATATCATCAAGCTTCCGCTGTGCAATATTGAGGATCAAATTGAAGAGAAGCGCTTATTTCTCTCAAGCAAATCTCCAGACGAATCGAACAATTTGCATCTGTTCATTAAGCCCCACAACGAGGAGGGTCATCGGGTTTGGTATAATGAAATTCAGTCCTATATTAATCACGTCGTGACTCTGCAAGAGCACGCTGCAGACGATCTGAAAGTAGATTCGGCAAATATTGCCAGCGAGAATGAACTAATACTTCGTCTGCCCCACAAGGTCGAGGCATATCAGCCCAATTTAGATATACGTCCCTCTGACGTGGCCGAAAACTACTTTTTGAGCAAGGAAACCAAGGAACGCCTGCTCTTCGAGGAGCAGCAGCTGAAGAAGATCGAACAGGAAGCTTACGAGCTATTCAAGGCCCAGCAGAATATACAAAATAGTGCACAGCAAAATATCGTACAGCAAAATATCGAAATAAATACCACAAAAGAGATTCGAACTGAGCAAAAGGTGGCCAGCCAAAGTTATTCGAAAACCGAATCCAATAAGAGCGAAGTTAAACTAACAACATCCACTCTAGATAAACAAGAGTCTGTGGCGCCTGCAGTGCTGCTTGAGTCTAGCGCATTTAAAAGATCGGCGATTGAGTCCAAAGAACTTCCTGAGAATAGAAAAGAAGAAAAAGAAAAGTCTAAAGTAGAAGTTCAGGAGAATGTTGCCCAGACATTAGTAGAGAAAAAGCTTGACTCTAGCATAGAATCAAAGAAATCTGATAAAGTTGTAGAACAACATCCAATTAAACTTAAAGAAACTAGTGAAATAGAAACTAGAGACGATATCAGAGAGATAGAGAAATCTGAAAAGCTTGAAACTAGAGAAGAGATTAGAGAGATAGAGAGATCTCAAAAGCTTGAAACTAGAGAAGAGATAGAGAAATCTCAAAAGATTGAAAAGATTGAAACTAGAGATGTTATTAGTGAGATAGAGAAATCTCATCAACAAGAAACTCTAACCGAGGGTAAGAACACAGAAGATATCAACTCCTCTTATACAGAAATAACTGTACAAATTCCAATAAGCAATCCAATAGAAACTTTAAGCCATTCACATGATACCCATAACAAGAACAAAATCGAGTTGGCAAACATACCCGGCTACAATGAATCGATGTACGATAGCGATAGCGTTCAGCAAACCTCTAAACAACGAGACGAACATCAGAGCATTACTAATATAACCGATTCAGCTTCATTAACGCAATGGAATAATCGACTTGCCGATATTGCTTTCAGGAATGGGGGCGAACGTTCTGCACAAGGTCCACCCCCACCACCCTTACCACCTCATTTTGTTCGAATGCCTGGCTTCTTTCAACCGCTTCCGCTTATATCGTATGAAACCACCGTAGAAATACTAATTATTAAAGCTCGCCCACCATCACCGCCACCGCGACCTCCGCCGCCCATTAAACGCGTGCTCGTGCACAACGAGAGTTTAGAACAGAAATCACAGAATTTTCTGGAGGGTATCTATGACGTATCAACCTCAGACACATCGCTGCGCAATGCTAAGCAAAAGATACGAAATATTAAGACAGCGGTCTTAAAATCAGCCGATTCAACCAATTACGCCCAAGATACGGTTAAAAAGGCAAAAGCTCGCGACTTTGTACATATTTTTAATCCGCCCATTCGAAAGAAACGACCCATTTTTGAAATTGTTGAAGAGCCTGTAAATATTTGCGAAATTGAAGGGGACTATACTGAATCTATTGCTGACGATTTCAGAGACTCAAGTGTTGACCTCGAGGCACGCGGCAGAAGTGTTTGCAGTATGGATGATAACTATTCCAGTTACTCACTGGCAACCAAACGGCGCATCGAGAGTAAGTTTCAATTGACCAATAACGGGAAAAAGTAAACGATAAATGTGTGTGATACGATATTGAAGGCTCTAGAAAACGAATTGATGTAAGCCAAAGTCTAGATTTTGACGAGTCCAGTCTATGATTGATTCAAATACGAAATATGTGTTGATATGTAATAGATGCCTTGTGTTCTAAACATCCGAAAAAGTATTATAATATTTTGTTTACGTTTTAGCAAACATACATATATACGAACATTAACCAAGTTTGTGTTGAATGTTTGGTACCTCCTGGCATAAAAAATATATACATGTATATCATTAAATATTTATTTTATATTGAATTTAAGCACGACATAGTAGATAATCTGCTACCAAATATTCCTTATCCAGCCTTTGATGATGCTTTTGATGCTGTTTTTTTTTTTTTTTCCCTTTTAATATGGTATAGATCAATTTGTAATATTGAATTATCTATTTTTCATGGATTATTTAGGTGGAATAGCAATATTTTAAAATATATAAACAGGGTTTCCTTGAGAAACCAATTAACCTGAGCTGTTTCGTACACCCAATTTTCATAAATAGTGCAAAACCGGAATGAAACACATATTATGCTCATTAACTTTAGGATGTATGATGTGACCTTTAAAGTTTCATTCGGAAAAGTATAGAGTTTCCCATTACCATTCTTTATTCTATATAATTTGCTTTATTCCAAACGGACTTAACCAACATATTTAGAAATGATGCTTCATCTATCGTTAAAATATTATGATATTAGACAAAAATCTGAAAAGAACTGTAAGTCAATCGAGTAGATCTATAATCAATCTATAAAACCAGATCAACTGATTGAAGGGAAGGTGAACAGCTATCCACCCGCACATTGTTTTTCCTAGTTTCCATGCCTCTTTTAACATCCACATAAATTGTTTTGTTTTTTATAGCCCGAAGTTAATTAAAGTATTATGAGAGGGCTGCCAATTTTAATTATATTATTCAAAATTTATTCAAAATTTCAATTAAAAACATGAATTCTTGAAATAATAATTTTATCTGAAATTTATGTAGCTGATTCCCTGAAGCTCAAAGCGTTTTAGCAATTCCTTTAAGTAAAGAAAAACTTTAGATATATGGAAATAAATACAAATTGTTTTTATATATCTTTACTTTGTGTATATCAGCGATCTATATTTGATTAGCAAATGATGCAGAGAAATATATAAGATATTGACAACTGGCAGCCCTCTGTAGTAGTCGTTATAATATCCATATATATCCTTGCTTATCCAGTTTCCTGAATATCATATATCTATATCTGTTTTCTCCGAACTAAATTGTCGCATTCTATAGTTTGTATTACATGCATATTTTTATTATTTTACATTCAATTAACCTCTGGCACATAAAGAAACGAGTAGGTACAAGGACTATGATAGGGGCACCTCCTACGATAGTACTGTAGAGAACAAGCACTATGGCATTAGCTCTAGACGTGAGCGAACAACTTTAGATAGAACTGAAGGACACTCACACCTATTGTCAGCTAGTCGTGCCGAGAGTCGTGCGGAGAGCCGTGCCGAAAGCCGCGCCGAGAGTCGTGCGGAGAGTCGAGCCGAGAGCCGTGCGTCCTACTTGCAAAGTTCAACGTATAAACGTTCGGACGATTTGCCACCGCGCTCGATTGAAAAGCCCGTCGTAAACAAAATGCTGAAGAGCGTCCACGTCGAGAGTAAGTTAACTAAATTTCCATTTTATAAAATTGTTTAGAAAATCTTCACTCTTATTTCAGGCGGTGAGACTGCGCATTTTGAGATCCAGTTCAACGAGCAGCCAGGTTCTGTTACATGGCTCAAGGATAACAAGGCCTTGGATGATCGTCTAGCGGATCGCATTGTACAAACAAGCGCTCCAATGAATTCATATCGTTTGGATATTAAAAATTGCAGGTGATTTATCGTTGATCTTTGGCCTTGACCTACTACGTATCATGAATGTGTTACTTCTTTAGATAATAAAATTAAATCTTAAATTTTTAGTGAGAATGACGCTGGAACATATACTGTTCGCGCGCAGACTGCAGCCGAAACAACAACTGTTACCGCTCAGCTGGCTGTGGGTCAAGGTAAGTTTTATAAACTATTTTATTTTTATTCATTTTAATTTTAATTGAGCACATATTTTTCAATAATTGCTACAGTTGGTGGTCATGACGAAACGAAGACCAATGTTGCGCCCGCATTCTTAGTTAGTTTGAAGGATACTGAAATGATTGAGAATACTCTGTTTCGGTTTATGGTCAAAATCTTGGGCGATCCAAAGCCCAGAGTTAAGTTGTAAGTACAACTATATAGTTTTTAAATCTGTATAACCTATTGTGTTCTGGTTACTTATATGATGTTAATAATTTTCGCTGTTTTCCCTTATAAAATAGGGTCTTAACATTTTCTTATAAAAATATGATCTTATGTCGAATCACTGTAATGTAGAATCAAAAGTGAGCGACTTTCTAAAATAATCCAGTATAATTTTGAATTTTGAGCAAATAAATTTAATGTTTAGTTGAGTTTGAGCCATAGTTCCTTTGTATAATTAACCATATTTGATTGAGATCTATTAAGATCAACCTTGGTCTTCTTTATGCAAAACTAGGTGAGTATAAGAGAAAGCTGCCAAATTTTGTATGTAGATTCTGCACAGAATTGGAATGTGGCAATTTTAAGATAAGTTTCCTTAAGCTATAAAAACAATGCATTTTTAAAAAACGTAGAAAAGTAGAAGACAATGAGAGTCCTGGCACTTGCATTAGATATATGCCCTGCATATTTCTTTATTAAAGATGTTTAATCAAAGTTTTGCAAACATATTTGAACTTTTTTTTTTTATTCTTTTGTATATCTTATATATTTTATTTTTTATTTATATTTTATAAATTTTATTTTCAATTTTTTAGCTACAAGAACGATAAGGAAATTCTTGAAACGGATGACAGAATTCAAATCATACGTGAAAAGGATTACCTGGGCTTCTATGAGCTAGTCATTGCCGAAGTGCAGCCGGAAGATGCTGGAGTCTATAGCTGCAAAGCAGTTAACAAGTTTGGCGAAGCCAGTTGCGAGGCAAAAGCAACTACTGTGGGTACGTAAAGAACACTCCGCTATAACTAGATAAATCAATTTACTATTCGATTTAATTTTAATAACATTTCATACATCATTATTTCCGTTTCTTTTTCAGACTTTAAGAATCCCTTTGGTGCTCTGAGTGGTCAGATTTTGCAGAGTGGAGAAAAGTCGATATTTTCCTGGAAGCGCAATGGAGAACCTTTCGATCCCGAAGAACGCTTCAAAGTGCTTTTTGGCGAGGATGAGGATTCGCTAGCTTTGGTATTCCAGCACGTGAAGCCCGAAGATGCCGGCTTATACACGTGTGTGGCCCAGACATCAACGGGAAATATCTCGTGCAGCGCCGAGCTGTCCGTTCAGGGCGCTATTCAGACCCTGAACAGGGAACCGGAGAAACCAACCTTGGTTATTGAGCATCGCGAGGCGAACACCAGCATTGGCGCCACGGCCATACTGGAGCTGCAGTGCAAGGGCTTCCCCAAGCCAGCTGTACTCTGGAAGCATGAAGGTGAAGTCGTCCAAGTCGACGACAGACACAAGTTCATGTTTGAAGACGAGGAGAGTATGTCTCTGGTTATAAAGAGCATAAACACTGAAGATGCTGGCGAATATACCATCGAAGCGGTGAATGAGCTTGGACAGGATACAAGCTCCATTAATTTGACTGTTAAGGGTGAGAGATTTCATATGAATATAATAATTTAACTTTTTTATAAATGTTATACGTATATTTTCTTCCTTCAGCTCCACCGAAAGTAAAGAAAATCGAGAATATTGTTTGTACAGCTGGCGAAACAGTGCGCATGGAGATCGAAGTTGAGGGATTCCCGCAGCCGGATATAAATGTCACCAACAATGGCAAGGATATATCGGGTGAAAGTAATGTGAAGATTACAACAAAGTCCGTTGGCAAAGGCTCCATCAAGGTTACTGTGGAGATTTCGGATATTAAGCTGTCGCAGGCTGGCAACTATTCGATCAGAGCCACAAACGATCTGAGCCAGACGTCCGAGTATTGGAATTGTACGGTGAAGTCGAAGCCAATTATTGTGAAACACTTTGAGGAGGAATATATTCACGGCGAAAAGGAAACCGTACAGATGTCCGTGCGCGTCGATGCATTCCCGGAGCCAAAGCTGATTTGGTATCACGATCAAACTGAGATCAAGACCAGCGAGAAAAAATACAAGGTCGAGTCGGACGGCAATACGTATACCCTGAAAATCACTGGCGCCACTCGCGTGGATGCTGGCAAATATACGGCCAAGGCGGTCAATGAGCACGGATCGGCCACGAGCGAAACTCAGCTGCTGATGAAGTGCACCCCAGAGCTGACCAAGAAATTGCAGAACATCACCGTCAAGGAGGGTGAAACGAATGTCGAGCTAGCCGTGGGCATCGATGCCTATCCAGTGCCCAGCATCAAGTGGTTCATTGACGGCATCGAAATCGATGAGAAGCGAAATGAATTCCTTAAGACAACGGAAGGAAATGTTCATAAGCTGGTCATGAAGGAGGTCGCTGTCAGCATGCAGGGAAATTACTGCTGCAAGATCATGAACGACTACGGCCAGATCGAGGACAACTGCTCGGTGACTGTCAACTGTGAGTATATATGGGATATATAGGAATATCAAAATAGATATAATTTCCTATTGAATTTCAGGCAAACCCAAAATAAGAAGAGCTCTCAAGGATGTTGAGGTCAAGGAAGGCAACTCGTTAACTCTAGAGGTTGAGATCTATAGCAATCCGGATGCCACTATCAAATGGTAGTTATTTTATTTTTTGATCTTTATTAATAGAATGTTTACTTTAATTTCATATTTGACTAATTTCAGGTTCAAGAATGGACACGAAATTCATGAAGATGCAAGAATTAAGATCACCAGAGATACGCAACGCATCGAAAATTACTATTTAACCTTGAATCTTGCCAAAGTTGAAGATGCTGGCACCTATGAGGTGAAGGCAGCCAATTTCATCGGCGAAACAACCTCAAGTTGCAAAGTTCAAGTTTTAAGTAAGTATATTTTTGCTAAGAATGTTAACTTGGTATTTAAAAGTGTAAGCAGAGTACTGAGCAATTTTTCACATATTCGATATGATTTATTTTAATTTCAATTAATTCTTAAGAGATTTGTGAATGGTTTTTAGCGGATGGCAATCGAGTTTACGTGGCAGGATGTTAATTGAACTTCGAATTTAAATTTCAACTGGTTTTTATAATATTAAATTTCAGTTTAAATTTGAATTACAAATTTGAAAAATTTCTGTTTTCAAATTATACTTTTAATAATCTAGAAATTACAGACTTAAATCGCTTATAAAACGTAGATATTTTTCTAGAACCTTTTAGCTAAATTCCAAATATCCTTTAAATAGTTTCTCATGTGCACATCGCATTTTCATTATTTTCAATCTTGTAGTGTTTAGTGATACATAAATTGGATTCCATTACCCATATTCCATAACTTATTCTGTATCAAAATGAGCCTAGGTTGTATAAGAAGACTCATATACATAATGATCTCGTACACAATTTGCTTCGCTTCAAACTCGAGGCTTTTGTTATTCTACTTTCCTTAGAGCAAGTTTACTTTCCTCTTAGAGCCAGTCTACTTTCCCCTTAGAGCCAGTCTTAGAATAATATATATCCCTTAAAATATACGTGTGTTACATTATTTTTCGATCTTTATAATACAATTTTTTTTATGTTATCTGTTATGAAATTGTCTACAGATTAATTGTTGTCTACAGATCAATTGTTGAGATTTTGAGGATAAGATATCGAGAATTTTATTTTTTATTTGACAGATTAATTCATTATCGGGTAAAGTTTTTTTTTTACATTCTGCAAAACCTTAAATTATCAGTTATATTTAAGAAATTATATTAAATTTAAACATTTTTAATAAATTTAGCCAAAGACTGTTTATCCGTGGAAGAAACCGTGACAAAAACAATGCTCGCAACAACAGAGCAAGCTGAGGAAGGGGGTAAAACAAACAACATTTCTAAATTCTTTACTAACTAATATACATAAAATGAATGCTCTACATAAATGCTTCTCTTTAATAATGCTGTAAAATTTTAGCTAGTTGTTAAGCAAAGTGATTGATATTGTCATAATTTAAAAAAATTTAAACATGTATATAGAATCTGTATAGAAATGAAGGATCCAAGACTGAGATGGTATGAACTTGACCGAAAATTGATAATGTATAGTTTTGTATATATATATAAATAATCATATATATATTTAGAGGATATGTGCTTCCTAAATCCGAAGGTGAAGCCCATTGCAAAACGCATGAATCAAAAACATTGGGTATTGATAGAGTCTTAAGTGAATGTCTATGTGTATGTGTATGAAGACTTTCTTGCAAGATATTTTAACCAAAATTGCATCTCACATAATATGTAATACATAGATATAAAAGTGATCTGATCTACTTTGAGAAGAACGATATCTTAACCAACGGCGGCACGACTTAGCTCCTAACACATTTGATGTATGTGAAATGAAAATCGACTTTGAAATCGATCGATTATAAATTCTTTTGTATATATAAATTCTTTACAGCAATTAACACGTAAGAGTATTAACTCGCCGGTGTATGCACTATGAATATAAAATACGATATATTAATTAGTTGAATTTCAATTTTCTAGCTGTGCCTGAGATCGTACACATCGATGTCTTCCAAATTCATAGCTTTGAAAGTGTTCCCCTCAAATATGAAGTTATTGCTAAGGGCATACCGAAGCCTGAGGCGATTTGGTATCACGATGACAAACCCATCGCAGCTGACAAACATTTTGCTATATCAAATGATGGGGTTGGTTTAAGGAAACGTTTATATTTCTCAAATACTAATAATATTATATACTTTAGGAACATTATAAGCTAGAAGTTAAGTCCCTGGAGCTAGCGGATGCCGGCGAATACAAGGTTGTTATAAAGAATAAAGTCGGTGAGAAGAGCCATAAGGGAGTACTCTCGCTCTCAGGTAAGACTCTGATTTTAAATAGACAAATTTGTTTCTAATATAATTTGTTAATTGTCTATATCCCTAGGTGTTGCTGAGTATAGAAAACCTATATTGATCGCAGCCAGCGGCTTGCGCGATATCAAATTGAAGAAGGGAGAAACCGTTAATGAGGCTGTCGTATTCACGGCCGACCCATTGCCGGAGATCATTTTGCTGAAGGATGGCGTGCCACTTAGTGGAGACAAGAAGAATATATTGAAGACTGAAACAAAAGAATTGGAGAACGGCTTGATACAATATACGTGCACCCTAAACATCAAGGATGGTAAGAATTAATATAAGCTCATTGAAAGAAATTATCTAAATATTGATAATAGAATATTTAGTCGTTATAAGCCTTCATCTCCTATTCGAGCTCAACTATCTCTTTATTTCCCCAGCCGACATCAAAGACTCTGGTCGCTATGAGCTCAAGGCAAAGAACAAGTATGGCGAGATGGCCACAAGCGGCTATATCGATGTGCTATCCAAGCCTGAAATTACCGGTTTGGTGAATCACAAATGCCTGCCCGGACAGTCGGTGTGCTTTGAGGCAATCGTGCTCGCCAATCCAAAGCCAAAGGTGTCCTGGACCCGGGGCAATGAGAATCTGTGCAACAATGACAGCTGCGAGGTTATCGCCGATGTTGATGCCGATAAGTACAGAATCGTGTTCCAATCGGTGACGCCAAAAGATGATGGCAAATACGCCATAGCTGCTATCAATTCAGAGGGCAGAGCTGATGCAGAGTTCAATTTGAATGTGCTAGGTAAAGCTATATTTTCTTAAACTATTTAAAAACAAAATTATCACTAATTATAAACCCATTGCAGTTGAAAAGCCCGCCTTTATAGTGCCACCTGAGGCCCAGGCCATTCACGACTTCCACCCAGTCACCACAAAGGTTGTCGTACACGGCGTACCAGCACCGGCTCTACAATGGCTCAAGGATGGCAAGCCAATTGATCTTGAAGCTGTCGATAAGCAAACACAGCAGAAGGTTTATCTGGTCAAATCCTCAAACCCTACAACAGATCAGGTCGAGGGCATACTCGAAATACCCAAATTCAAGGAAAATGTCGCTGGAACGGTATGATTAACTTCCTTACAAAAAGAATCCCTTTGAAACGAAATCAATGTCTTTATAGTACACCTGCGTGGCCAAAAATGAAATTGGTGAGACTAAAGTTCCATTTGAATTGACTATGCAAGCGCTGGCTCCGAGCTTTACTAAAAAACTGAACAGTGCGTTGGATGCGCAACAGGGTGAGCCTCTCGTCCTGGAATGTGCTGTGGATGGCAGTCCTTTGCCCACAATCCAATGGCTCAAGGATAGCGACGAAATCACACCAAATCCAAGGTACTTGGTGCATTTGAAAGCTTTTAAACTTAATATATCATCAACGAATACTCCGACCTTGCTTTATAGAGTTAAAATGACGACCACGCCCGAGGGCTTAGTCAAATTGGAAATCAACAACTGTGAGCCGAATGACTCTGGTGCCTACAAATTGGTTATTTCCAATCCGCATGGACAGAAGGTAGCCTTATGTGCTGTCGCAGTAAAGCGTAAGTATTACCCTATACTATGCTAGTTATTGAATATTTTTAAATTAAACAAATTCAATATTTAAATCTTACAGCCAAAGAAATGCAGCCCAAGTTCCTGAAGCCATTCGAGAATCAATCAGTCACTGTTGGACAACCCCTGAAATTGAGCGCTGAAGTCACAGGTTTTCCTGCACCCGAAATCAAGTGGTACAAGGATGGTCTACTCCTGCGGCCTAGCTCTAATATTGATTTCATCAACAATCCCAACGGTCAAATTGGCTTGATGTAAGCTAAGATAATTTATCAATTCAAAAAATCTTATTATTTATATTTCCAAATGCAGTGTTGATACAGTGGAGCCTGAAGATGCTGGTATTTACAAGTGTGTTATTGTCAACAAGGAGGGCGAGGCAGAAAATGCCGTGAAAGTTGAAGTGATTCCTAGGGAAGCGAAGCCCACATTTGTTGCCGAGCTGCAAGATGCCTCGAGTGTTGAAGGATTCCCAGTGAAGATGGACATTAAGGTTCTAGGTTTTCCAAAGCCGAAACTCCAGTGGTTCCATAATGGTCATGAGATCTTGCCCGATAATAAGCATGTTGCCATTCTGGAAAATCCGGACAACACTTTCAGCCTTATTATAGACAAGACTCTGCCAACGGACTCGGGATTGTACGAAATTGTCGCACAAAATTCGGAGGGCTCAACTGCCTCGAAGGCTAAGCTCTATGTAGCACCGAAAATTGATGAAACTGTTGCAGAGGAAGCGCCCCAATTCGTCTCTGGACTACGCGATGTCAATGCAGATGAAGGCAAAGAACTGGTGCTATCTGCGCCATTCATTGCCAACCCGATGCCTGAGATCATGTGGTCCAAGGATGGCGTTCCACTGGCACCCAGCGAACGTTTGCTGATGACTTGCGATGGCAAGCACGCGGGTCTAACCATAAGCCCCGTGGAAACCTCCGACTCCGGCACCTACAGCTGCCTGCTGGCCAATCCCTTGGGCGAGGACTCGTCTCAGTGCAATGCGAACGTCAGGAAAGTCTACAAGGCGCCAATATTCACGCAAAAGATATCAGATCAGCAGCAAGCTTTTGGAAACAATGCCAAGATTCCAGTTACAGTCTCTGGCGTTCCATATCCAGAGCTCACGTGGTTCTTCGATAATAAGCCCATAGAGGAGTCAAGCAAATACTCGATCAAAAATGATGGCGATCATCATATGCTGATTGTGAATGATTGTCAAGCCTCTGATAAGGGCGAATACAAGTGTATTGCCTCGAATAGGGAGGGCAAAGACATTACACAGGGTCGTCTGGAAGTCGTTAATGAAGTGTAAGTATATTCGTTATACATATATCAAATCTCCAATCAATTTCAATTATTATAAAATGTTTTTCTTTTAGCAAAAAGCATATGCGTTCCGAGCCCCCAGTATTTCTCAAGAAAATTGGCGACTGCGATGTCTACGATGGCATGTCGGCGAAGTTTACGGCTTGTGCAACAGGCTATCCAGAGCCGGAGGTGGAATGGTTCAAGAACGATCAGAGACTATTCCCATCTGATAGAATTGATATTGAAAAGGAATCGAATGGTCTTCTGCGCTTATCCATCAAAAATGTCAACGAATTTGATGTGGGACGCTATTCCTGTCGCATCTACAATCCCTATGGAGATGATATCTGTCATGCCGACTTATTTTACGATGGTAAGTCTAACTGTAGTTATTTTGGTGCTTTCCCCTTTTCAAATTCCTGTTTCTTCTTCAAACAGTTATTGACTCTCATCAACGTCCATTGGGCGAGCAGTATAGCGACTTCAAGCAATACAAGAAAACCGGTGCTCCACCACCATTGCCCGAAGGTCCTATTATATCCCGTATGACCGATAGACGTCTGCTTTTGTCCTGGAAGCCGTCGGTGCCATTGACACCCAGATATCCAGTTACATATCAGGTATGCTATAATAAAATTATAATTATTTACTTAGAAACCAAATTCTAATTATCAATTTGTTCTATATTTTTAGGTGGAAAGACTAGACTTACCAGATGGCGACTGGCATACCTTGAGAACTGGTATTCGAGGCTGCAGCTATGATATTAGAAACTTGGACCCACTTAGAGATTACAAGTTCAGAATTCGCGTAGAGAACAAATTTGGCGTCAGCGATCCCAGTCCATACACTCAGACATTTAGGTAACCATAGAAATTTTTACTAGTCTCGATTATTTAATACAATTTGATTTATTTCTTTTAGACAAAATCTTATACCGGAGCCTAAGAAGACTTACACATATCTGCCACCTGGCACTGACTTTAGACCGGATACTTCACCCTATTTTCCAAAGGACTTTGATATTGAACGTCCACCTCACGATGGTTTGGCTCAGGCTCCTCAGTAAGTGACTTTAGAGCAAACTTATGAATATACTAAAATTTATTGAGATATCTAGATTTTTACTGCGTGAGAACGAAGTCTCGTATGGCGTCAAGGGACATAACACAGAGCTTATGTGGTTCGTTTATGGTTATCCGAAACCAAAGATGACCTACTACTTTAACGATAGTCTAATTGAACCCGGCGGAAGATTCGATTACAGCTACACACGTAATGGACAGGCTACGCTATTTATTAATAAGTAAGTTGCTTAGATATGACCGATGGTACATAAATAAGTAAGCACACCTCTAACCTATCCGTAATCCCTTTTCCCCACAGCATGCTAGATCGTGATGTGGGATGGTATGAAGCAGTGGCGACTAATGAGCATGGCGAGGCTAGGCAACGAGTTCGTCTGGAAATCGCCGAATATCCACGATTCACGAAGCGTCCCAATGAAACGTTCATCATGTCGCGCAAGAATGGACGCATTGAGGCCAGGATAACTGGAATTCCGCTACCGGAAGTACATTGGTATAAGGATTGGAAGCTTATAACTGAAACATCACGCATTAAGATTCACTCATATGATCCCGATGTCTACATTCTTGCCATACACGACTCCATAATAAAGGATGGAGGTCTCTACTCGGTGAGCGCACGAAATATTGCCGGATCCATTAGCACCTCAGTCACTGTGCATATTGAGGAAAATGAGGATCAATATATCTACAAGACCTATGGCAGGCATCCATATGTGCGCTCGAAGCAATTGCGATATGAGGACAAATACGATATTGGCGATGAGCTAGGTCGTGGCACTCAGGGCATCACATATCACGCGGTGGAGCGCGCCACTGGCGACAATTATGCGGCAAAGATCATGCACGGACGACCAGAGCTGCGGCCCTTCATGTTGAATGAACTGGATATGATGAACATGTTCAATCACAGGAACCTGATACGCCCCTACGATGCGTATGAGAATGATCGCGGCGTAACGCTCATACTCGAGCTGGCAGCCGGAGGCGAACTTGTCAGGGACAATTTGCTTACGAGGAACTACTACACCGAGCGTGACATTGCCAATTATATACGCCAGACTTTGTATGGCTTGGAGCATATGCACGATTTGGGCGTGGGCCATATGGGCTTAACGGTAAATATCATTTAACTTATTCATATAGGGATTTATATTACATATCTATCTTTCTTTTCAGATCAAAGACCTGCTGATTTCTGTCGTAGGCAGCGATTTCATCAAGGTATCTGACTTTGGTCTTTCGCGCAAAATAAATAAGCACAACTTATCCACACTGGACTATGGAATGCCAGAGTTTGTCTCTCCGGAAGTCGTTAACAAGGAAGGCGTCAGCTTCTCCCACGACATGTGGACAGTTGGCTTGATCACATATATTCTGCTCGGTGGCCGAAATCCCTTCATGGGCGCCGACGATAGAGAAACCTTGACCAAAATTCGCGAGGGTCGCTGGGACTTCTCTGATTCCATTTGGACCCATATCTCTGAGGATGGTCGCGACTTTATAAGCCGACTGCTGCTGTACAGCCCCGAAGAGCGTATGGATATTAAGACCGCATTGAAGCATCCTTGGTTCTTTATGCTCGATAGAAAAGCATCCGATGAAGATTATCAAATTGGTACGGATCGCTTGAGGCACTATTATGATCACTTCAGGGATTGGTATGCAAATGCCTCCTGCAAGAACTACTTCCGTCGTCGTCGCCTCAGTGGCTGCTTCCAGCATCCCTCGAAAATGGTGTATCCTCCTGGACACTCGTACACACCTGAAAATACGCCCGAGCCCTTCATCGAACCAAGAACCAGAACTAAGGAGGTTGTCTCCAAATTCTTGCATCCCGACTATGAGCTGGGTCTCATCTCATCTGAGAGCCAGTAAGTAGAGTTACAAGTAAAGTCAATAATTATATTAATAATTTATGGTCTTTCTTACAGCTATCAATATGGACCCGATACCTATTTACTGCAGCTAAGAGATGTCAGCTTCCCAGTGAGGCTACGCGAGTACATGAAGGTCGCCCACAGGCGTTCTCCATCATTTGCTATTAACGATTCAGTTGATTGGTCGGTAAGTATTAGTAGTAAGTATTAGCAAAGTAAAGAAATCACGAATAACCTATTCAATATTACTTTCAGCTGCCCGTGATCCGCGAAAGACGTCGCTTCACTGATATAATGGATGAGGAAATCGATGATGAGCGCACCAGGAGCCGTATTAGCATGTATTCCGCTAATGATTCGTACTCCATTCGACGCCTGCGAACTGAGCTAGGACCTCGTCTGAATGAGTATACCGAGGCAGATGCGATGATCGAGACTCAGCGCGAGGGCTATCCACCCTTCTTCCGAGAGAAGCCACAAACTATTGCGATTACAGAGAACCGGCCAGCGCATATTCACTGCTTTGCAGTGGGCGATCCTAAGCCGTGCGTGCAATGGTTCAAGAACGATATGGTCATCACTGAGAGCAAACGTATCAAGATCACTTTCGATGAGGATGGTCGTTCGATACTGCGCTTCGAGCCAGCCAGTCACTTCGATGTTGGCATCTATAAGGCTGTCGCCAGGAATAAGGTTGGCCAGACTGTGGCCAGATGTCGCATAGTAATTGCAACGCTGCCCGATGCACCCGACTCGCCTGAGGTTTCGGCAACGAGTGCCACAGAAATACTGCTGAGATGGAAGCAACCGCGCGACGATGGACACTCGCCCGTCATGTGCTATAGTCTGCAATACAAAACGCAAAACTCTGATGCCTGGACCACTGTGGCCGATAACATTGATCACGAATTTTATCTGTTGCACGAACTGCAGCCCAACACGAATTATCAAATTCGACTTGCGTCGAAGAATCGCATCGGCTGGAGTGACATGGGAATTCCCGTGAATGCAACAACTGCTGGCACGGATGCACCCAAAGTTCACATTACGAAGGCCATGAAGCACTTGCAAATGCTGACGGAGAAGGGTCAAGAGGTGGTGCTCGAGGAGGAGCGCGTGCACATGGACTACCATTGCGAGCGCGAGCCACCCAACTGGGTGACCGATGCGTCCGTCAGTGATAAGTACAGCTTCATTTCGGAGATTGCACGCGGAGAGTTCAGCACAATTGTGAAGGGAATCCAGAAATCCACAGATACAGTTATTGTGGCAAAGATCTTTGAAGTCACCGACGAGAATGAGGAGGCAGTGGTCGCTGAATTTGATAACTTCAAGACCCTAAGGCACGAGCGTATACCCGCCCTGTTTGGCGCCTACAAGCCAATGAATGTCCCGATCGCAATATTTGTGATGGAAAAACTTCAGGGCGCCGACGTGTTGACCTATTTCTCGAGCCGCCATGAATACTCCGAGCAAATGGTGGCATGTGTTATCACACAGCTCCTGGATGCCCTGCAATACTTACACTGGCGCGGATATTGCCATCTAAACATACAGCCCGACAATGTTGTCATGGCCTCAGTTAGATCGATTCAAGTGAAGCTCGTGGACTTTGGCTCAGCAAAGAAGGTGAACAAGTTGGGCATGAAGATAGCGCCGACTGGCATGCTGGACTTCCAGCCACCAGAAATGATCAACGACGAACCAGTCTTCCCCCAGAGCGATATTTGGTCGATGGGCGTACTAGTCTACATGCTTCTGTCCGGCACTAGTCCATTCCGTGGCGCCGACGACTACGAGACTCAACAAAACATTTCCTTCGTACGCTATCGTTTTGAGAATCTCTTCAAGGAAGTTACTCCGGAAGCAACTAGATTCATTATGCAACTGTTTAAGCGACATCCCACGTAAGAGAATATCTTTCTAGAATTCGCAATTCAATTAATACATTACCTATTTTAATTACAGGAAACGACCATACACAGATGACTGTCTGGAGCACAGATGGCTGATGTCTTCCGATTATATGGTTAGAAAGCGTGAGCGCGCCGTATTCTTAGGCTGTCGACTGAAGGTAAGTTTTGAATATTACCGATATGGGTTTCTATTGATTGTTTTTAAATATTACTTTTCACAGACCATTTCCGATGAATATCATGAATATAAGAACAAAGCTGCATCAACCTCCAAAGCCTTCTATGCGGTTGAAGGCGCACCCACACCATCTCAACTACTTCGATCGAACAGCATTCAAGAGGAATTGCTCACAACGTTTTAGATAAACTGAAGAAAATAACACAAAAACAAAAATTAACTACGAATATTTCTATATTTCAGCACATAAATAAAAAAAAAAAAAAAAAAAGAAAAGAAAACGAATTTAAAATGAGATTATAATCATAAATGTTGTTGTCAATAAATTAAAGCTTTTCGCAAAATCATATACTTTAATGAAAGAAATATGTAAAAGTTTGGTTTATTTTTTATTTCTTGTTAATTTGACTGTTAACAACCTCACAATACAGCTCTCTCACTCTAATATGTGGTTTTTCTTCATAAAGTTTCTCTGATTGGAATTTTATTGTGGTAATACTTTATTCCAATTGCAGAAGCTTTCTTAAGCTGTTTATATTTTCTATTTTCGCGGCAAGCCGGCAATAATCGCAGCGAAAATATCGATTTATCATTCAGTTGAAGCTTTCTTGACATCTCTAGCCGTTTTGTCCTAATTGTTATTGATTTTTAGCAAAATACAACTTATTCATTTATAAAATTAAATTATAATAAAAATACTTTTGTATAAATATGTGCTGTGTATTATTTTTAAGGTTTCCATTCAGTGTTTTTTAGCATATGTTTAATATATGTACATACAAATAGAATATAACTACATAAATATATCATCTACATATATACAAATGACAATATCTTGAAAAGGTGAACTAAATTATGCATAGATATTGCATGATATAGATATTAGATGAACTGCTTCAACTAAAACTAATTCTTCAATCAGGTACAACACAGCTGCTTGAAATGGCAAAGTTCCCGTTATTCAACATCAGCCGAAAAAACGAAACATATCCAGCGAACTTCAATATCAAATGCAAATCTCAATTGCTGGAGGAGCATGAGAGCGTTAAATTAATTATAAATCGTCGCGTCGCAGTCCATCCAATGAAGTGGCCTTTGCTGCGCTGTAAATGGCATAAAAAGCTGACGCTGTCTTTGACGCTTTTTCTTATTTGCCTGCTAATCATTTTCGCCTACTCGGACGAGTTTCGGAATAAGGTCTTCTCCGTATTTCTGTCGAATCGATTTGGCCAAGTGACAAACATTAACAAACTGCAGACAGCCTTTGCGAATAGTAATCAAGAACCAAATACATCGAATCAGCAGCACTTGAAGCCAATGCAATATATATTGAACTATTCGGCAGCACAACTGAACCACAGTTCGATTCTGAAGCCCATCACATCGAACTACAACATATTCGTCATCTATACCAGAGAGAACTATAGATTGCATATGAAATTCGATCTATTCATACATAGTCTGTTCAAGCATACCAATGCTCAGCTGCATTTACATGTGATCACGGATAAGGAGAGCGAGGTGGCGGTGCTGGAGATACTGCAGCGCAAGGTGCGACGCTTCAAGCGAGTTTTGATCTACTCCATGTATAATATACAAATCTGTTCGAATATAATTCAAGATATAACTGACAAATTGTCGCCATACTTTAGCTCAGCGCCCAATTCGTATTATAGTGATTCGCTTTTTTTTATGTCGCTCGGCCTGCATCGCATCGCCGACGCGAGCCTCAGTCGTGCTATTCTCTTCGATTGTGATATTGTCTTTCGGTCAGATATTCGTTTGCTTTTCGCAGAATTTGATCGGTTTTTGCCGAATCAGCTTTTTGGTCTGGCGCCCGAACTAACGCCAGTTTATAGACATATACTGTACCGGTATCGTACGCAGTTTCCCGAATCGAATTTCGGAAATCCATATCAACCGATACAAATAGGCAAAAATAAAAATAATAATAATAAGAATAAGAATAATAAATTGTTAACTAGTCGTAGCCAGGAACGTCATGGTTACCCGGGCCTTAATTCCGGCGTAGTGCTTATACTCTTAAACCGAATCCGAGATTCCAGTACGTACATCGAGATACTCACGCAGTATGAAATCAATCGTCTAGTGACAAAGTATTCCTTCAAGGGTCACCTCGGGGACCAAGACTTTTTTACACTCCTAGGCTATGAGTACCCAACTTTAATCTATCGGCTGGACTGTGTCTGGAACCGACAGCTCTGCACCTGGTGGAAGGATCACGGCTACAGTAACATATTCGACGCGTATTTCCGCTGTGATGGCAACATCAAAATGTACCACGGCAATTGCAATACGCGAATTCCAGAGTAATGCGAACGTGTACAATAACGTATTTAGGAACTGAGAGAGAGAGCCATGCGAAATCGCGTTTTAATGTATTTTGGGTGATATATTTGGAGATAGCTGGGAAAAGCCTCTCTCTCTCTCTGTCTCTCTCTTCTGAGCTACTCTCTTATACCCACTCTCCACTGATCCCTGCGATCGTCTTATTAACATTTAGACTTAAACATAAAACAATATAAATTGTAGATATAGCATAAATACAAATCTTATGAATAAAGTTAAATTGTTTACTACAATCTTCAAATCTAAATGATGTTTCTTTTGATGCTATAAAGCGAACGAGTGAGTGAGTGATAAGCAAATCTTAATAGCTGTGCTGTCAAAATGGGGACTTACTTTGTAAGCTGCAATATATCTAAACTTTGTTTCATTATAATATCTATGATGCATTATCTATTTTAATCTATTTCAAAAAGTGACATTTTAAGCTCGACTCTAGTACTTTCGACAAAACTGCAAAAGTTTTGATTTATTTTATGACGTATAATTATTTTATGATTGTGCTTGAAGCATATGCGAGGGTGGTTTGAAAACTTACAGAGCTTCGCTGCTGAAGATTTGCAAATAAAATATTTAATTTAAAAATATTTTTATTGACTCCATATTTAGTTTCTTTATTTAACAAAACCTTCTCACCAAAATCTAAAAACCAGGAATTCAGGTATAGATTTTGTATATTTATATTGTATATAAGAGGAATGCTCTATTATTATATCAATCACGTCTATACATTTGTAGTTTCCGTGTTCGTGGACTTTATATAAAAATAAAAAACGTGTTGACAGACAGGCAACGCGAATCACGTCAACTTGACTCATTCATTAGATCTGGAATATGTTAGCTCCATAGCATATATAATTGTAATATATATACATTACCAATTGCCAATAATCATTTTAAATGAGTTTTCTGTGTAATAAAACGGTTGCGTAAATGGCTTCGCCTTTTAGGAAGCTAAGCAATGATTCATTGATTACCGTTGGAAAATTGAGTTATGTTAGCTTTAAGTGTTCTGTATTGAATGTTAAGATCATATTTTTCAATGTTTGCCAAAGGAATAAAATCAAGAACAGAATAGTACATATACACATATTGTACATATCCATTTTCCGAATGGAATAAAAAAAACAAAATATTCATGAGCAATATACTTTTAATGCATACTTGACGCACTTACATATATCATACCATTTATCCTATAATTTGTAACAGAATGGACTAAGCTTAACGTTTTGTTTTTAACAAATGAAAATATCCAGACTCCCAATCGATAGCTTTTTACAAAAATAAACATTTATTTTGTGTATAGATCATTCTTAAAAGCCCAAATATAACTAGAATTTAGAGAGGGATGCCAGCCTTTTGTGCCTGTGCCCTATAACGCTTGATGTAGACCTCATCTGGATCATATTTAGCCTGCAGCACCTTCCATTCCTCTGGCTTATTATCGATCACGTAGCGTATGACCTTGTCGGTGTTCTGCTTTTGCTTCTCACTGCATTTGCTGCACTCGGTGAGCAACGCGTCAGGCAGGGATTTCTTCAGCTCGCGGGCGTCGGGCGTGCACTTGCCCGTATCAACCAGGCACTTGAAGTAGTTGGTGAACAAACGATCCGATCTCAAAATTTCATCCACATCGATGTTATCGTATTTTGTCGTGTATTTCTCGTCAGCTGCAACGCAGGCGATCGCCAGAGCAAAGAACAAAATGAACGACTTCATGCTGTAATTAAAGTAAGGAAAACTTAATTAAAATCGAATCTTAAAAGTAAAATTGAAATGAAATGTTAATAATAAATATGTATATTATTTTATTTTATTTCAATTTTTTTTATAGTCATTTATATATTATTAGTTTTTTTCTTCCTTTAAATCTTTTCTATAATTTACAAAAACTATTTTTTATTCATTTTAACGATTTATAAATAAATTATGAAAAAAGTAAAAATTAATATAAAATGTCAAATGTTTAAAGTTTTTCTTAATTTCTTTCTATCTTGAAACACGTTATTTAAGAATAATGAGCTCTTTCATTTAACACGAGTGACTAGCTCAAAGTTTAATGAGTGTCTATAAGTGCTCTGTTGACTTCTTTTTATGTTAGTTACTAACAAGGCTAAGCCTCATTAACGGCTTACTTAATTACTTTAACTTGCCGAGTAGACATACTTATAAAGAAATATGTATACATATATAGATATATGGATAGCATATATTTATATACATATGTATATTAATACATTTACTCAAGTAGTTAACGCATACAAGTTATGGATATATATCTACACACATATATATGCATATATGCATAATTTGTATACTAAGTAAAGTTGATATTGAAACTAAGTCAAGCATTGCACAACGAAAATTCGAATAACAACAATAAAAACAACACAATCGAAAAACGATCTAATTGAAATTCAAATATAGCCTTTTGTTTGGCCGGTTTACTTTTTTTTTTTTTTTTTTTTTTTTTTCTTTTTTGGGTAGTAATATTAACCTTAAGTAACAACAATAACAACAGCGACAAACAAATTGAACAGACTCGAGAGCAACTAGTTGTGAAGTAGCGAAATATCTTTAACAAACTGACGACGATTCCAACGAAGTTAGCTTTTATACTTGAGCAATGGCTGAGACAGTCAGATACGTCTGTCGATATTAACAAATATTTATAGTATATATAGCTATGAATATATATCTATAGATACATACATATATACATATACTTATATATCTTTGTAAGCATTTTGTATGAACTTTGATGTTTTAGACTTTAAAGCGTAAGGCCGTCTCGCTTGAATGTCAAATTGTGATTAGTGGAAATGCATTATTATCTTTGTATTTGTAATCTATCACATTTATTTAAATTACAAATTTACAAATTCACAAATTAAGATGCATCGGTATCATTACATGGCGATATGACTCATTTGATTTGTGCATATATACATACATTTTAAAACAATAAAACAATAAAGCTACTAAAAAAATTATAATA